GCAACGCCCTCCTCATTGTATGTCTCATCCGGTATTTCCTTTTCCGCAATGTAATTCTTGTATCCATCACTAAGTCCACCCTGATAGACAAATGAAATAAATGGTCAATATTAAAGAAAGAGATTATTTATAAAAGAGGGAACTTTTTTCTTAGCTATACCAATATCAGAATCCTACAAACCTTGTAGACAATGAAGCTTTGGAGAATATACTGAAATTGAATTGGTTCACTGCCTTCATAAATACGAGCCTTCAATCAATTACAGATGCATAACATCAATAAGGACTCATACAGTGAGCAAAGGTAATCTATAAACAAATTGAATAACTTGTTTGAAGAAAAATTACCAGGGAAGGAATAAACTTCATTGATTCAACCATTTTGCCTGCCATTGAAAGAGCTGAAGCTCTATCTTCCTACTTTCAACAAAAAAATACTGTAAGGAATTCAAGCTCTTCTTGAGAAAAGCATGACACAAATAATGTTGGCCAAACATGTCTACGTCCATGGATGAGAAAATTCTACAATCATAACAAGATTACAGGACAATATTTGTTGGCACTTTCAGTCTCCTTTTTCCTACAAAATCCTCACTATAATCCATGCATCTCTACTTGGCCTCCCAATCTTCACACACCTTCTCATTCTCGTAACTCTACCAATTCCCCATTACAAGTATTTATAACCCAGAAGGACTTGCATGACAAGTAACCACTTCCTCTTGCCAAGCAAAACTACCTGGTGTCCAGGCCTTTGATAACTTTTCTAGTTTCCTATTGAAAAGATAAATCTCTCTAATGCCTTGCATATCTCTCACATATGTTTCTCATTATCATATGTTTTTGTAGAAATGTCAATATTAATTACAAAAATATGAATCTACCAATAAAAGAGGAAACTACAGATGCCAATCCCAACACTGCTTAATGCAAAGTTATAGCAAGACTACAGTTTCTTACATACATAACCTATGCTTCACTAATATATGTTTTCAGTTCCAGGTGAATCTTTCGCAGACATATTGTATATATACACACACATATATATACACACATATATTAAAAATAATAAAATCTGTGTAAGAAGACTAGAAGAATTTTCACCTCAACACTATTGTTTCCAATCCATGCTCCTATAAGATGGTCTTCCCTATCTTCTCCAGGATATGAATACTGAAAGATGTAGCAATCGCCACTATAAAATTTTGACTGGTCAGAGGCTGGAAGAAGAACCTTTTCCTGACCATTCACTCGCCAAACCTGTGCAGTTATGGCAAAGCTCTTGTTAATAACGGAAGCAAAAGAGCAGTTTTGGAAATGAAGTACCACAATAACTCTACCCAAAATCAAATAACAAGTAAAGAACATATCTTTTGAACTCTCCAGGAAAGCTATTTACCAAATGCTTATGAAGTAATACAGAATATGACTAACATCTCAATCACAACATTCACAAAAAAATTCAACAATAGGAGACTGTTGGAGTTTTAAGGATACAGTAATTTTGGTTCTTAAAGATTCAATCATTACCCGCAAATTTCCTGTGCAATCTATGTAGGCTTCAGGTTCTTCTTTTTCAGGATCAGCTTTCAAGAGACCCTTGACGTCCAATCCTTGACGTTTTAGACGTTCTAGAATATAATAACTCTGGTCAATGTGATGCTGAAAAACTAATTTAAAGGTGGAAAAACTTACCCATGCAAATAACAACTTCAAAGTTTATTTAAAACTAACCTGCTACCTTGCTACGACCATCTTCAGCATGTGCTACATTTGTTGTTTGAGGCCAAGAGTCAAACTTGGACTTGAACATCACAGTTTCAAATCCTTCCATCACGCGAATTACGTAGGATTTTGATCGACCAGTGCCACTGACTAACTCCTGTTTTTTGATCAAAAGCAATTCAAGAGTCATTACAACTCAGTAAAATGCTAAACAATGCTGAGAAAGAAACAAGAGGTGTTACCTCTGCAGCGCTACTAGCACTTTTTCTTTCATCTAGAGAGGAGTTTCTTCCTATCCATGCAAACAATTCCAACCCACAATCTATAATATAGCATTTATTTGTGTCCAGTAATTCCCTTGTCAAAGAATCAAACTCAATAGGTTCTGCCTTCCCTGTCACAACACTGGAAAAGCAATACAAATTTCATTATAACTAAGACATTATAGAATCCAACGTTTCAATATGATAAATAATCTTCAACCATGTAATTGTATCAATAATTAGCATTATTTTCAAATTCTCAGAAATATCAAGGTATATAAGTTCAGGATAAAAGAACGATAAATTCTGTAGCAGTTTTACATTGATAAAACCATAAGGTATAGATTAATGTTTTATGATTTCATCCTAATATCGTTTTTCTAAGAAAAAAATACCAGTTGGCAAACTAGAAAAACATTACCACAACAGCTTTGGAGGATGAGAATCAGCAGGCTTATCGTCATCGTTGACCGTTTTCCGTGGAAGAGGAGCAAAACCTCCAAAGAAACTCCAGAATTCTCCAGTATCAGAATCAGACATCAACCTTCCATCCTCTGCATGGAAGTTCAAGTATATACATTCAATTAGCGATATTAAGCACTCGCCTTTAAAACTTTAAAAAGTAATTTACACTTACCAACAGCAGCTATATCACATTTCCCATCATGGTATGTGTCCTTAATATACTGTACAACTTCCAATGCTTTAGCCCTTTCTTGAATGGATGAATTGGAACCATTAAATTGGAAGATTTTGGAATCAGTATCCAGAATAAAAATATCATCATGGCTGAGTGAAGATCGGGCAAAAGGAACCTATAACCAACACAAATAACTGATCAACAAGTAGAAAAAATTTCTACACACAAGTCCAAGACTCAAACCTCAGCAACTCAATGGTAGAGGACTAATGTCAAACTTGCCTCTTTGACATTTACAACATGTTTCCCTCTGCATACAAACAATCGCGTCTTATGTTCTTCAGCCTCAACATGTTTAAAACCAGAGGCAGCTCCACCTTCTTGAGGTATAATACATGGTTTGAAATAAGACAGGAACTTTTCAGTTTCATGACCCTGTACTTCGCGATACTGAACAGCACGTCCTCCTAGAGTTGCATCCAATTCTACTGTCTTGATGGCTGCAGCTCCAGCCTCGTCCTATTTTATAGTTATGATCATCATTCATCAGTAATAAACATGTACAAAAATAAATTATATCAAACACTAAACCAAAAAAAGAGGTAGATGGGGAATATAGTATAAACAACAAAACTTACCTGAGTGGTGTCTTTACCGAGCCAGTAATGGATATTGTGGAGGAGAGCACCACTTTTTGTACCAGTTGTCTACATGGAAAGGATAAGAAATAAGAAAACAGTGACAATATCCATGCAATACAGTGACCCTTAGAAATACAAGCTTCTTGAAACAATGAATACAGACATTAGGCAAGCATTCTGCGAATAAGCAACCATTTGGAAAACATGGCTTACCTTTAAAATCACGTAGGAGTCTCCGGTGAAAAACTTCCCATAAGATGACTGAGGGATGGGAACCGGATTAAAATTCTCAATTCGCCATATTTCAAGTCCCCTGTAAATAGTTAAGGAGAACAATGCAGAAGCACAGGCAAGAGTACAAGCACAAAAAAGGACTAAACATAGAAAATAACCAAATGAAGCAGCAACCATGAATGAATCATGTGAGGATGAAAATATGATAAATCTTAAAGAGTACAATATATTATTGATAAGTAGGGCAGGATACGCCTTTTGTCCAGTTCCCTTGAAAGCTGGATCCAAATCTCTGATAGAAATGGACATGATTCTCTTCCACTATTGTTCTTCCACAACCTAGCTTTAATATATTAAGGAATTATCCTGAAAAGAAGCCACATGATAGTGAATGAAGAAAGGAAATGTATTTGCTTCCTCTAACTTTATCTGGGACAAAGACAAATTGATCAACATGTGATATAAAAGGTTAATGTCATTAATTGATCCTTCCATAATCAGGGGATGATAACAAAAACTAAAAGTGCAAGCCTAGCCAGATTATGGTTTTTATGTTGTAAGTTATACAGTAAAAACTCTCCAAAGTTTAATTTTGATATTCCCTATTTAAATGCAACAGACCAATCAAAGTTCACGCAAAATCCAGAATTGGCTTATATGCACTTAGAGTTAAACCAGTGAAACAAAAAATGAAAGCCATTCCTGGCCTCCTACCTGAAATTTCCGAAATTCGAGAAACTAAGAAGAAGAAAAAACAAAACTCAACAGCAAAATTGCTGAAAATGATAGGATTTTCAAGGTAGTGGGATATGTATGTAAATACACCATTCATCATTTATTTGTATAAGAACAATGACAAGTATTTAATTAGAAGAACATATTTAGAGATAAGAGGGAATATTACGTTTGGATGCATGGAAAGTAGTGAATGAAACACAGTTAATAAGAACAAAAAAAATGAAAATGGAATGGATTACATAAATTTTCTGTAAAGACAAGCACTACCTTTTCACCAGTTTCACGAGAAAAATCCATTATTGTTTGGTTTTAGAGGGTAAAATGCTGAAAATACACGTAAACAAATCAAGTTCTATTCCTATAATTTGGGTCTATTTTTTATTTGTATTATTATTGTGGGTAGTGAAATTTAATAATGTAATTGAAAATTGAGAGGAATGGAGATGGTTGGTAATGGAGGAAGTTGAAGTCCGTATTGTGAGGATTGGATGTGAGAAAGAGAGAAACAAGGAAAGTTTGGTCACCGGCCATTGCCACTACTCATTCATGCAAAATCCAATTCCCATAAAAGGTTAAAGGCCTAACGTGTGGCTTTTTCATAGGATCTTTAACATAGATAATCTACCAATCAATCAATTCATACATGTCATTGTCCTACTATTCCATAACAACCTTAAGCAATACCACACCTACATATACTTGATACATTGTTTAAACTATATCTTAGGTAGTATTAGTCTAGTATCTACTTAGTCATTTTTTATATAAGTATTACAAAACTTTTTATAAAGAACTTAATATGGTATTGGTATATCTGGTGATATATAATAAATAATGTTTGGAAGTTGGAACAAATTCCAGTTGCTTCAACCCTACTACCAAGAACAATAGAATGAGGTTTCCAAGGGTTTAATTGCAAAACTTTAGTTAAATTAAAATATTTATCCCAACCATAGATTATCATAAAATATTAGGTTGTAATTTTGTGAATTATCAGCAACAAAGCTTTGTCCCATTGGCGATGATGTTGTAATTCTACGATGATGTTGAAGCTCGCAAGTACACTTCTTCTTCTCGTATTGTTCAAATTCAGGTTCTTCTTTTTTCAAATTCATTAATTATTAGCTGATATTTTATTATATATTAATCTCATTTGGTTTATTTATGTAAGGCTGAGCTCTCTGAGAGATGAAAAGTGAGAAGAGGAAATGTAGTTCCTCCTAATACCAAGTACACAGGTTGGAAGCGCAAGGATCTGCATCTTGTTCATATTTATGAATGGGCATTACAGTCTGCATCTTTTTCGGGAGGTCCTGTTGTCAAAAATATACATCCTTGGACAATCTTTTTATTAATGAATACAGTTGTTTCAGTGAGCCAAATGCATAATATTTTGTATGTGTTTATTTTTAAAAGTACTCATTCATAACCTTAGATGAGTTTGGATAAGAAGTTTTTATGAAAGTTATTCGTCTTCCTTGCATTGCCTTTAAGATACCATTAACCTGCCTAGATTTTCTGCAAAAATATTATTGAATTTAGATTAGTCGCAGTTAGTGATTAAAAGAATCAATGTTAAAGATATAATCCGGCAAAAAAAATGAGTTGAAGGATCCTAGGAGCTGTATAATTTACTAAAACGTTTCCAATTGTTTTAGTATTTCCGAGACAAATACATACATTTAATATAACCATAAATATTAAATTGAATTCTTTTTTGTCATGAATTGACTAACACTAAATGGTTATTCTCCTCCACTTGAGGCCACCCACCACTCTAACTGCAATGCCAGTTTACCCTTTTCACATAATATCCGCGGCAGGTAGGGGGGGGCGATCAAGCCTCAAACAATGCTGAAATTTACAACTCTCATCACGCCATATGAAAAACCAAGATGGGGCAAAAGAATGGATCAAAATAGCTGCTGCCTTATTAAGGTGTTGAATAATTGGAAAATAGATGCAATAACTTATCAACTGTTTCAGGAGTGAATTTCCTTGCAAATAGGTAGCATGGCTTCTGAATTCCATTCCATAAGCAAGGCTCTTTTTGCACTTCTCTCTGCAGAAACACAAGATAATTTTGTTTGTCAACCTGCTTAATTTATTCTAAAAATAAATCAGATTCCGAAAGCTTTCATGTAGTGTACCTTCTCATCACTGGTGACATGCACACTAATGTCAATGGACTGCAAATAAATATAACAGATATCATCAACGTCCATTCCATGTAACTCGACTACAAAAACAAATCGAAAAGAACAAATATGGGTTGTTGTATAAGTTTGTAGCAGAATAATACCGTAATATCCTTTAAAAGCTCATATGTAACATCCTGAGACCCATATGATTTTGGATGCCATTTTCTCTCAGACCAGTCAACATGAGTTACAGACCAGTTTGCAATTCCACCAGGATCAACCATCTACATAAGAGACATGAGCCAGTTAGCTGAAAGTTGAAAATGGTTATGATAGAAGAACTGTATTGCAATTGAAATTCTTACATGGAAGAAAGTCGGCAAGTAATGCTCGTCGGCAATGCAATTCTTCCCATCCAAACCTGGCTGTAATATTAAGAAATTTCACATTAATACAGAATTTATAAGTCCATGGACAAAATAGATAATTCCCACATCAGCTTTTTGCAATAAGGTGTTTTTCTAGTTCTGACAGCAGTTATATATGGAAATTTAAAATTATGCACGGAACTAAATGGTTCAATAACCTTAAGGATGTAAGCCATAAGGCTAGGACACAGAATGACTATATAAATAATTTGAGCATCAGTTCCATCTTGCCAAGGAGTAAAATGTGTTTCTTTTCCAGTTTAGACAGCAGTACAGTACACGAGAGATTTAAAAGGTAAAGGTTTGAAAAAAAGAGAGACAAAGCCCACACTTCCGTATAACATCTAGCACAGTGGTTTAACATCATACATATTTTGGAAAAAATTACAGAAGAAATTTATAGTGTGCAGGTATAATTTGTAAGCAAATATAGGAGGCACATAATCGGATAAGTGTTATATGTGATAGAAATGTGACACTAAAGCATAAGGGAAAATTCACCATACAACTATAAGACCATCAATGTTGTATGGGACTAATGCCGGACGGTAAAATGCCAACAAGAGAATAAACTTAATGAAACTGAGATGAAAATGTAATTGGATGAGTAGAATGAATGAGAATTAATGCATTAGGGAGAAAGTCGGAATAACTCCTAATGTAAAAAAGATGGTAGAGTCACGCCTTATGTGTTATGAGCATGTGTGAAAGAGAATGTTATAAAACTTAGTAAGGTGAATAAACCAAATGGAGGTTAGTCCATTTTCTAGAGATAGGGGGAGGCTAAGAAAAACCATAGGCGGAATGATTAGGAAAGATTTAGATGGCAATGCTTTGTCAATGGACATGATATATGATAGAGCACTATGACGTCGTTACATCCATGTAGCCAACCTCTAGTGGGATTCAGGCTTGTTTGTTATTGTTTTAATTGCAGTGATATTTAAAAACTTCACCTGACAGTATGCCTGGAATTTTGAGTAATATAGATGATCAGCCATAACTATAACAGCATGCTGCCGCTTCATTGAAAACCACTGCAAAATAAGTTAAACAATGAGGTGAGAGTTGAGACTAAATCAGTGACATAACACAATTAGATATATACATTCTGAGCCACAAAGCCCTCGAGTTTTAGACTCAAGTATAAACTCTACAAGGAATAGTAGTGTGGTCATATTGAAACACACTAGAATGCTGATTGGATCACAATAAGAAAGAGGAGTGAGGGATTTCACAAATGAGCAAAGAATAATCATTTTCTTTTTCCAATAAAACAAAGAATTACGTTAATTATACAAAACATTGATTCATTGCCATGTTTTTATGACAAGACTCAATTGCATCCATGTCTTACAATTAATGTGCTACAAAAAAGGGTTATGGAACAATCACAACTTCCATTTATCCAGTTGGCATCCTCTGAAAAGGGTAATAACAAAATAAAGTAGCCAAAAAAGTACTGTGTTCAAATTTTATTCTCTTAATAATAAAATTTATGTTTCTAGCTAATGTGTGAATTCCTAGCTGATATATGACTGTAACAAGAATATACCTGTGCACCCTTTCTAAAGTCCTTCACATCAATTTCAGGTAACATGCGTTCTGAATATCTGCCATTGCCATGAGGGCCAGGATCCTTAAAGCTAATAAGAAAAAGTAATAGAAAAGGACATCAAACTGATAGCAGAAATCAAAGAGGTGAAAAGCAATAACCTAAAAAAATACAGAGGAACATCATGTGATACAACCTGACATACCAGTCTACAAAGCTGATATTTGTATTAATCAGGTAGTTGTAAATATAGTCAAAATTATACAAAGGCACACAGCTGCAAAGGCAAGATAAACAAATCAGAAACTAATTAAACCAATAATAATACTTACTAGACCATAGCAGAATTAAAAGCAATCTCATAGCCCATTTACCTATCAGAAAGTAAAACAAATTGCTGGTTGTCAAGATCTTGAAGGGCATTCGTCAATAGCCGTCTCTCTGCATCAACCATGGAAGTTTTCCCCCACACCACCTACAACAAGTCAACTTCTGATTACAGGCTGATCACTAGAAAACCACCGACTATATTGGGAACAACATATATTTACACTTGCTATCAGCCTATCACTATCGCTATTGCTAAGACTAAAACAGTTGGATACAAAAAATATTGACCAATTATTTTTTTTTAAATAATAATCAATTACAATAGGATAAACCATTGCTCAACCATGCAAAATTAATTCACATACAGTTCAGATCCTGCTCTTACTGACTTCTAAGGTTATGCTGGTGAAGAAAACAAACATATAATCCCATCTCTACTCTGGGTTAAATGAATTATACATGAAGAGCTATTGCAGCATAATATTTCCAGACCCATGCACTAAATGTTTATAGTTATATAGCATAGGATAATCTCTCAAATCAGTAATAATATTATATTTCCTACAATCAAAAGTTCTGAGTCCAATACGAGGAAATATATTAAGTTACAAACATTTACACTTTGATTTGCATTAGAGAACATATATTTGAGCATGCAAGACAGTGCAATTCACAAATAATAGTAGACTGAACAATTACAAGACTATATGCACCTCGTTACTGCGAATATCCCGGTTAAGAAAATATCGGCTCAAATGAACTGGCTTAGTCTTGGATGCATGCACATAAACAGAGAACTTCCCTTCATGACCCTGCCAAAAAAGGATAAGAGCATCTTTCAGGTAAATGAAAGACAGAAGATGAACAGGAATCTGAGGACAAATAACCAAGTACCAACAAAAGTACAAAAAAAAGGGCGTTCGTTCATTACGATACATTCATCAAGAGTTTATTATAAAAACATATTACACATCTTGTATCGTATATCTATGCCATAAGATATTTTAAGGGAATGTGAATCACGTTGGAAGAACTAGCAATGTCTACCAAACAGCACAGTATCCATTTGTTTAAAATGAAAAATTCTACAATGCTAAATTGAAATCATGGAATGCTCCACTTAAATAAAGTCATGTGATTATTTCCGTTGCCCAACATTCCCCGACAACATGAGAAACAGTTAACAATTTTCATGCGGAGCACCAGAGCCAGCTGAGTGTGCAATAAACCTCTTGTTAAACATTCCAATTCAGATTTCTAATAGAAATAATGAATTTCTCCAATTCTACCAAGTCCCAACAACTCAAATCTTTTCTATACAAGAATCACCCGAGACATACAAAGGAGTTCAAATCACAGAGGATCTCCTTGTGTCATTTGAGCATACAATAAGCCGTTTCTCTAATTGATCAATAAAAAAACGCAGAATATAAATTAGCCTATTAAATTGGCTATTTTCTCTGAAATTATATATTTTTAAAAGTGCAGCATATATAATTCAAAACAGATAATACATCAACATTGTCATTGAAAGAGAGAAGCAAGAGCTTGAACAATTGAAAGCCGACAAGTAAGAAACTCTTACTTGGAAAAACTTGTCCCACAATCTTTCAAATGGCAGAGAACCAGGCGATAAAAACATGAAAGCAACTTTTGGATTTTTCGAAACAATTGGAGGTGACTTCAAAATATCCCGAATAACAACACGCGCGACGATCTCTTCATCGGTGTATTCTCTTACAGTA